ATACCACACGTACAAAAGCAGGAAGTTTTGTCAGTTCATGGAGTTGCAACTTCCACCTGCAGCAAAAATAGCAAATTGACAAACTGTGAATCCCTAAAACTCTTAGAAGGGTTTGGGAAATAGAAACATTTTCAAAAAACTGTTAGCATAGGCGATATAGGAGCAGACAACCAACTGCTATATAACGTAGCATCTCTTAGGAGGGAATTTGAGACAATGCAGTATCCTTACTTGACAGTTACAGAAATTGAAATGACAATTTCATTTAAGGGTGAACTAAAAGGCAAGGTGACTGGAGTCACTCTCACAGTTAGCCAGTCTGCTGTTATAATGCCAGAAAATTCTGCTTGCAGTTTACACCTTGGTGTGCATCTTTTCCAAGTGAAAACAGAGCTGTGCTCTCACCACACTCTAAGCCAGCCAGTCAGAAACTGTTAACCATGTTTTCAAGAGCCAAACAATATGATGCTATGACGTATGTCAAGACGATTGTCTAAACATACCACACACCCTAGCCTGCGCATGCAGTTGCTGTGACCAAGAATGAAGTTAACAACATGTTAACTATAGAACTGAATATCTGCATTAAGAAAAACCACACATCTTCACATACACAAGTTCCAGAACTTAAGTGTGGAGTTCTGTTACGTCACCCAGGTGTCTGTGTTACTCTTTGAATTGTAAAACATTTCCAAATCTAATCATGAATCTGACAGGCCAGTTGAGGGGAAAGATAGTTTTGCAGCAAAAGCTGAGACTGCACATCAGAAGATCTAGCACCTACCTGGAATCCTACAAGAACTATTTACAGTATCAAAATCCAATTCCCTGTGAGCCCCAGGTTAGTTACGCTTAGGTTAATTTAAAGTCTCTCAATGCTCTGCTCAGAGTACAAGTTTATTAGCAACAATTTTGTATCTACAGATGGAATCTTCTTTAGAAAAAAACAGCATTATTTTTTTTTTGAGGTTCTGGCAGGGGTATCATGGTTTATCCACAGGTAGAGCACTGGTCTGGTCTTTACCACGTATTTTGAACCATGTTCCTGGACAGAGAAGCAAGAGCTATGAAAAAGGGGAAGCATATAGGATGACAGGAGAAACAAAAGAAAACAAAAAAACCCAAAGAACAAAAATCCAAACAAAAAAGAAAAAAAAAATCTATAATCTTACAATTTCCGTGCAAAGACTGAAAACGTGGTATTATCAAGAAGTAATCAAAGTTGTAAGCAAACAATTTAAAGCCTTAGAATGAAACAAAGGGAATTTATTAGAAGGAGGACTAGAAAGAACAGTTTCTGATGAATGTTTAAGTTAATTTCTGGAAAAAGAAAGACCCTGGAAAAAAAAAGCTTGAAAAGGACTCATAACAACAGTTCAAAGACCAAAGGTAACAACTTCACTGTGGAAATAGAGTGTGCAACTGCAATTGGGTCCATCAACAGACTGATGCCTGAGAAGAATGCATTGGTTTTCCAGGAGTTATGTACTAGAGAATACTGCTGTGGGCAGAAGAAACTGTAATCAACTTACTTTTTGTCATCTGACAGGTCAATGTTGGTCCCAAACTTGATTGTTTTAAAAGGGCCTCTTCTCCTCCTCCCAGAGCTGCAAATACAAAAAATACAATAGGGTGAAACCCCCCTCATAAAACCAACTACAGAATTATCACAGTTATATCACACTTACTTATCAGAAGATGTGGATTCATTATCTGAGTGGTCCTTGTGGTGACTCTTCTTCTCATTTTCCTCCTATAAAATGCAATTGCGGAAATGTTTTTATATACATGTAAATATATATAAAAGTAAGAATATATATAAAATACATAGATACAAAGTGATGACATGTTCACAGAGGTCAGTACATTTGTTTCAAGATGCTGGTACAAACTTTAAAATAAAAAAGTATCTAAGATTCTATGTCAGTATTACTGTTAAGAAAATTTTTCAAGTTAGTAGTCAAAAGCCATTGCAAAAAATTCTTCACAACTATAAATTCAGTAAAGCTGAGTGCCAGGACAGGATGACTAGCATTTATAAAAACCATTTTATAAAATCCATTATATAAAATCTTCTGAATTTTTCATAGCCATATGCTATTTTAGCACTGCAGTAGCTAGGACAATGACTAGTGGAAAAAATCTAACCACTATTAAATGATGTAATTTCATCTTTTTAGCAGAGTGTGCTCAGAACTCTAAAGACTTCTTTTTTGGCAAGTATATGGACATAGAAGGAAAAAGAATTAGACAAAAAGGAGGAAAGAACTGCCTGCAGGCTATCCAAAGATCTCTGGCTTTGAATGGGATTGTTGTTAAATCTCAAAGTGCCCTATGTACCTGAGAAAGTCTTATTCATCCTTTGAACGAAGGACAAAGAGAAACAAAAAGGAACCTAGTGATGATGGATTTATCAAATACTGCCAGACATGTTAGAGAAGCAATGTAATAGTTGTTAGAGGAATAAAAAGAAAAGATCCCTTAGGGCAAGGTAAGAGGATTGTGTCTGTAGAAAGAAGAAACAAAGCTTTCATTTGAACACTGCAAAAAGTCACCTAAGGACAGGTCAAAGCAGTGTTAGGCAAAGGACATGTGTACACTGTCCTTCCAATTTCCAAGGGAAAAATGAAAGTCATAATTCTGAATATTATTTTATATATTGCATCTTTACCACTAATTCATAAGAGAGAAAAAAAAATAATCAGAAAATCCTGCAATTCACTTCTTGGTGTAAATCCAAAGCTGAGGCTGTCCTGCTGACAAGCTGGTATGTAATCAATTACATACGTTATTAAAATGTGTGTG